CCACCCTCTGTCAGATCACATCCTTCTTTGCAACAATCCTTGGCTTCCCTTTCGGGAGCGGAGCGGTGTGAGCGTATCCCGGTGCCTTGGCAGAGGTCTGTGTGGGATCTGCAGTACACCACGGCATGGGGCTCCTCTGTGCTAGCGAGCATCCATCTGCAGTGTAAAGTGCTGTACCGGACTTAACCCTTGCCGCGCCACATCCCAGCCATCTATCGGAGCTCAGCGTGGGGGGAGACACCGTTACACCCCTCCCCCAGGTGGGCTGCTGCAATTCCAGCATAAATTATGCTCAGAGGGTCAATGACAGCTCCCTGAAAGTCACACTGTCACACTAAGCATTACAAGATGGGCTATTGCATTTTCTATTCTATGGGCTTGCAGAACACAGTAATTCTGGTCCAGATTAGCACTTCCCAGAACCACTGAAAGCGGCTACCTTTAACAGCATAATATTTACAGCTAGGGCTAGGAATTGAGCAATGGGGCTTTGACGGCCATCAAATAAGAACTAATTTTGTGTTCCCTGATCAAATACTTCAACTCCTTCAATCAAATATCAATAAAATGTTGATAGATGCGAATCCATTTTGTGACAGTCGCCCCAAGACAACAACATCAACACAACACCTGCTAACAGCGTTATCTGAGCTGGGGCCAATAAATCACATGGGGATAAACTGGAGTGAGAAGTTGAGAGGGTGGTTTTCTGCTCTCCATGAGGTAGGCCAAGGAAATCAATCATCGCAGCACAAATACTACAGAAACATGTGATTATTTAATAGCTCTATATGGATTTATTGATTCAAGTTTGAAACAACAGAGGAGCTGAAGGTTACCAGCTCTGGAGTCGTTCAATAAGACCAACAGTTTTGAATGGACACGATGGACTTACAGTAATTGACACAAGGTGACATCAACGTGGTGCAATTCTTTCATTTTACTAAAAGATCACTACATTACGTTTCTAATGGGAAAAAAAATACATTCTTGTATTTTTATTATAACAAGTTAAGATTAAGATGAAATGAGATCAGAGGGTTGACATCGAAATCCCAACAGATCGTTATGATTAAGTTCTAGAATTGACTGATATCGTGATATAATTTCGAAATAAATCGACAAGTTACAGCTAGTATTTTACAGCTTTAGGTTTGGATGGTATGGCGCCAATTTCAAAAGCTTTAGAGGAAAGATAATTTCACTTGTGTATAGTTCCTGACAGTTTTTGTTTCATGTGAAAAGTCAAGTCATAAATATTCTGGTGTAGAATCCTTAACTGACCTCCAAAAGTTTAAAATACAATATTCTACGATGTCACAATAATGCCTCCTATGAAACGTGTTCAAATACTGAAATGCTGTCAGAATTGAACCCAGGTCGTGTGGGAGACATTTCTCTGGCATGGATAATGATGGTTTGGGATGGGTCTAACAGTCACACAGTCACCGCGGGCAACAGATCCAGAGTTAAATTTACATCCCTCGCAGCTCTGGCCCGGCACTGGTGACAGATTCCACACATAACTGGAGCTCTGTGCAACTTCTGCAGAGCGAGCCAAAATGAATCACTTCCACATCCAGCAAAAAGGCATGTGGAGAACCCGAGCTGCAAATCCTGCTACCACACAAACAGTTCCATGCACAAGATAAACGGCCATGCATGGCCTGTCATCGTCCCAATAGAAATACAACCAAACAGCCAGATCGGAATATTTGTAAACCAATAAAAGCCTCATTGGTACAACGTGAAGTATCTTTTTGGAGCCATTTTTTTTTTTAACCATGAACTGAATTGAACCGATTTGACTATTATGAAATTAATATTAGGGCTGGGGTAATATAAATTTAGCTGACCTATAAATACCCATACCCATAAACAACACAGATCATAATAAAAACAATTACTGTACAAATGCAAAAAGATAAAAAACTAGATTATTTAGAAAAATATAATTTGCATAGGACTTCGGCCAATACATTGTATTGTGATATCAAGTATCGGTACGGTCAGCAAGTATTGACATTTTAAGAAGTATTCAGAACGATTTTGACGGAAGTTTTGTCATGTTGATTGAGTTATGTTTTATTTCAATCCTCTACCCCTCACAGTTTAGACAGGACACAAGTACCTCCTGTTGTTGAGCAGGGTCCCATTCACTTGTTTATTTATTATGTTGTTCTTATCCTTAAGCTGGGCAAACACTGCAATTTCCTGGTACATTTTGTCCCAAATATTTGTTGCTGAACAGAATTAAGATTCTCCTGAAGTTTATGATTCCTGCGATTATCACCTCACGATGAGCTCACGAGCGCTGAACATGAAATTGCGGAGTTAAACATCCTGTGGACACACTGGAAATGCTGGAGAGGATTGTAAACACAGCTCTGGAATAAGCAACACACAGCAACGCACTTTACGTTACCTTTATTAAAATTTTTTAACAAAGGTTTAACGTTGCTAACATTAATACTTTTCTAATGTTTTGATATCAGAATCAGAATCCAGAGCACTCCGCGCCTCCTATTATGATGATAAGAACAATATTGGCTGAGAGAAGCAGGGCTGAAGATTTAAATAGAGAATTGAGAAATAAATAAAGCAATGCAAGAATGAAATTCACATCACAGATCATGAGGTGGTCTCTTCTGCCCGGGTACAAAGCCTAAAAAGTGGACCAAGAAATCAGCTTGGACTCCAATCATCCCATTGGAAGTTATCAGAGCCCACACAGAGAACCGAAGGGGCAGGAATGTGCTGATAAGGCTGTGCCACTGACCCAACGGGCCCCGCCTCCTCTCCATCACTGTGATTGAAACAAGGGCGGCAGCATCAATGAAAAACTCCAGCGATAAGAGAGGTTACAGTTCCAGAAGAGAAAAGGGCCCCATACTAAAATGTGATTGATGAGGGAATTCGCGAGGCTTGTTACCTTGATAATCCTACGCACCTCGTTCAAAAGGGATTTACGACTGAGTTGATTTATTTGAAGCCACAGGAAGCATCTGCATCAGTGAAGATGTAACCACAAAGAGGTGTGAACACTGGTTGGTAATAGAACATCGGACAATGAACACTGGTAGTTTTATGGGTTTCCCGTTGTTCCTTAGTTACATGATAGAATGTAGAAATAGTTATAGTATTTGCATTTCATTCAACGGAAATACGTTTTTGGTGTAATAGGTATTAGGTATTTGTAACCTCAATTCACAAGATCAAAGTTTCTATTTTGCTAACAAAACCAAACACTTAAAAATGTTGAACAGAATGGAAAATAATTAATATTAAGTAAATATACATATTTTTTTAAATAACCACACATTAATCCATTTACTAATTTTAGAGAACACATTTGTATCAATAAAGCTCAAAACTTTCAGAGAAGTATGACGTTTAAGCTTAGGGAATTTAATGCATGTTCACTTTGTTATATAAAAACAAAAGTACATGGCGTTAGTCAGCATTCAGCAGCTTACATACAGCTAAATCATTTTGTAGCAAGACATGCTTTCTCCTGACATCGAAGTAGTCATGTTTTACAAAAGTAGCTGAAATATTGAACATGTTTGTCCTTCCAAAACCACACTGACTCAAATGACTGCTGCTCTCCTGACAGCTTAGGGCGACATGATTTACAGTCCAACATGTATGCCTGTCCTTGGGCCACTAGATATTCTTATCTCCTGTGACATGAATGCCTTAACAACAATGTTACCTACCTTCCAAAGAAAAGAAAAAAGTATATAAGACTTTAGAATTATTTGAATATATAGCATAGATTATTGATTGAAGGATTTCACCAACAGTAAACATGAAATACGAGTTATGGCCATCCTCTCTGAGTAATATCAATGTAACAGCATGTTCATCAAGTCACGTCAGTACACTAAAGAGCTATCAAGGTATAATTACCTTGTATTGCATTTCTTCTGAGCTAAAAGTGGTTTAACTCCACCCCACTACAACTAGTAACTTTCCAAAATGTATCTGATTATTAGCTTCACATGAAATACCGATCTACAGACGTTCTATTGGATACAAATGCTCTCAGTTTAGAAACACATACAACAGAATGATAACACAGAAGAACACACTTCAAGCAAACCGTACTTGCGTTTTCACTGCAAAATGTGAACCAAAATTATGTCATCTTCTCTTTGCTTAATAAATGTGAGTAATTTACAGCAATAGAAAAAACAGCACGTCTTATTCATTTACGTTCAACAGGTGAATTTATGCTTGGGGTGATTCAGACCAGTGACGGCAGGTTAGTCATCCTGGATCCTCTCGGCCAAAGCTCAGCGTGTTAACAAGAAAGATGCCATGGATAAACAGCATACCGCTGGTTTACAGCCCATTCAGTGGGACTGACAGGTGGGTACTGTCACCATCCCCAGCTAACAAGCTAGCACTAGCCAATTGCTACCTAGCTTTACTACTCAAGTTTTAGTAGCTGACCATCAAAACAAGGTGGGTCATCATGTGACCCCCCTCTTAAATTAGGAAAACCGACGCCATATTCACCGGCATCTAGTCTCATCTTTCCCCTCTCACATTACATGACATAACAATGCACAGAATAAATCTTTTGCCCCTTCAAACTGCCTTGATCAAAACTCTTGCTGGCCGACATTTTGTTCGTCAGCGCAGCTAGCCCTGGCTAACGTTGGCTAACGCTAACGCTACCTGGACGCACTTGACGTGAGCGAGCAGTCTGCCTCTGACAGCTCCACCACAACCTGTTTAATGGCATGTAACTGCAGCCCTGCCAGTGGCATGTCAAATGAGATTGCAATCATCGGTATTTAGCTCACAGTGTGTATGAAAACATTAGCCACTCGGTGATGGAGCTAACAATTAGCTGAGCTAGCGCAGAGGTAGCGGTTACCTCCACAGCAGCGATATCGCCTGTTCCCGCAGAGGGACACATCCAGCCTGCGCTTTGGAGAACATGGGCTCTTGCATAACGCATTTGGAAAATAAGTGAAGTAAATATTCACCTCGTAAAGGCAACGGTCTTCACGACGTACTTGTGAAAATCCTTGAGGAGTAGAGAGGTATTCTGCTGTGGCTCCTCCAGAGCAGCAGCAGTGGCCGCACTGCAATGGCAGCAGTCCCCCCTCTGCGCTCGCACTTCGGCTGCCTTCACCACCACGGCGACACCGACAGGTTCATATGGACCAGACCATTAGGGTTTGTCCGCGGGGGGACGCAGGATGCAGAGGCAGTCTGCAGCAGCATCAGCAGCAGGGATCCAGCAGCATCCCGCGCCATATCAGCGTGAGAACGACACAGTCACTCCGAGAGAGAAATACAGAGGAGGCCAGATGTGCGCCGTAGAAATGGATGCGACTATTTTCACCCTGTCATAATGTTGATTGATGGAACATCTATCTACGGCATCACATTCGATAATGTACAGTCAAGGAGGGGGAAACGTAACTAAACTTTTAATTGATTCAATATTATAGTGCTCAAATGAATGGTTATGAGTAGGTTGCAAGAAATTAAGCCTCATTTGAAAGAGAAAAAACATATCCCGAAGGCTTTATAGAACATTAGCATACTTAATTTAATTTTAAAAGTAAAATAGCTGAAGGCCTAGGCCTATTAAATGACATAGCCTGTGCCAAAAACTGATAACGTTGTTCCCCGAGTAGCAGCCAATAAGTCAGTTGTAAAAAAGAAAAAAAACACATGTATTGAGATGATCAAATGTCAGTGATAGTAAAATAAATGCATTCTTTCTCTGGGAAAGCTGAGGTAATCGTTAATAGTAATGACATGCTGCATAAAGCCATTTAAAATGCAGAGGATACCAAAATCCCGCTTACAGTCACTGAGCTCAATACAGGTTCCCACGAGGCATGCACAATGAATCAATATAGAGTAGAATGTAAATTGTGCACTGCAGCAAAGAAACTCTTAATACCGTATACATGGACTTGTGTGTTTCCTTTTGATGGGGATTTTATAGTATAGTAGTGCACCTTCTGTTGTCTTTATCACTTGGAGGTGTCGTGACCGTTCTTGTCACCTCTACCTATGGACACTAATGAGCTGGAGCTGAATGTTATAGTAGTTGGAGCACAGAGGTCCCCTGCAATGTTGCTGACGTAAGGAGACATGATGCGGATTTCATTGGAGGATCAGAGAAACAGAGAGAGATAGAGAGAGGAGAGGGGCGGGTGCATCTTGAATAGAAGAATGTGAAATGTGGCCAAGGTCATATGAGTATAAAGGCAGTTTACAGATTCTGCAAATGTTAAAAAAACACTCTACATAGCACCTCACCAAAAAAGTCTTCAACTAATCATAATCAGTACACTGGTCATCAGTGCTCAGACATGTAATTATAAATATGTTTGTTCTTATGAAGTAATTACACGTCATGAATCCTACTAAATGTATAAAATGGTGACAAAGGTAACATATTTAATTTCATTGCCTTTTTTTCTAATGAAATTTGTTAACATAAATCCTCCAGTTAATGTAAGTTTAAATGCAATTAAATAAATGCAGTGCTACAATATCAGGAAGTTAATTTGTGTTGGTGAGAAATGTTAGTTTGTAACTAGCTGCCATCCCACATGACTAACAACTGCTCGTAATCAAACATGAACTGAAATTGTACAAACATAATACTTAAGATAATTATGTCAGGTAACAGAAAGTAGTCATATTTTTCCTTCATGCTATAAAGGCCTTGAACTCTCCTCTAATAATGCTTCGTCTCTGTTTGCATCAATGCTCCAACTGCAAAGACAGACTTTCACACTCAAAGCAACAAATGCGATGCAGCTCATTTTCAGCCTCAGCAAGAGAAGTTTACATCAACACGACTGCATGACTATGAATGGGGGAGTCAATTACACATTTGCAAAAGACAAATTAGAAATTCACAACAGGTGGACTTGTAGACACCTGTCCCTGATGGCAACGTGAGTCAACTTAAAACAGCCAAGTAGACAATGTGGCCAATCTATATAAGCTTTAATGATTTTGGGCTATCAGATGACAATAATGGAGAACAGGACTTGCCAATACAAAATGAAGGGGATAAAAGTGGTGTTATGTGTCACTGTGCTGCCAAAGATGCAAGTTGATACACAAAACCTGATGCGTCTTATCTTGTTATCAGGTCTTCACTGTTACAAATTGGAGAAACATCAATGTAATCCCATAATGGAGCGAGCTGGCCACAGGACAGAAGAGCAGGATTTTGAGATTTCCAGGTTGTCCTCAAATGACGTGGACGACCTCTGGCATAGGAGGAAGCAGCATCGCCACTACAGAAATATGACCTTTTCAGAATGCAGTTCAGGTGCCTGTGGAGACTGCTTTTTTTCCCCTAAATATTTTTTAATAAAAGTAGCTAATGGAGGTTTAGTCATCACGTTTATTAAACTGTTAATGTTTTCATTGTTTTACTGGTCCAAAACAGGGGTCTGGAGATGATGCCCATTCCCACACTACTTGGTTTTGCAAGATTTAAAATATATTTGGTCGTAGTCTTTTTTCTATTGTGTTATTTAGCAACATTTTATAAGCATTAGTAAAGTTAGAAAGCAAAGAGGATAAGGTCCGAGGTACTCTGAAGAAGTCCGCTGGTTTGAGGACGAAACATCGGGAAAACTTGCTAAGAAGTACAGATGATGGGTGAGAAACCTTCCTTTGCTTTTACTCTGACTTAACATAAAAATCCTTCATTGTTGTAAGAACACTGTGTTTGTTATAAAGTTAGTTTAGTTTCATTTAGAATGTGCCTTATACTAACAACATTCACACAACGTAAACCCATGTTTACGTTGTGTGAATGTTCCCAACACTAGTTACTGGTATTTGCTAATATTCTGTATTTTCTAACAAAAAGTGTCTGAAAGCTATTTAACAATCATGCGCCATATGTTTTGCCGAAGGACAGAACAGCTGTTATTCAGTTAGGCCGTAATCAAACCTAATAATAGTTCATGAGAAATATACTTTGTAATTTTTGTATTTCTGTGTGTATCAGTGACCTGCCATAACATTACAGGAGCACCTTCACAGTACAGCTACAACATTAACTTGTGCTGTTGAATATTAGTTTCATTATGGTTGGTTGCATTGTGCAGAAAACAATACTTCATGTCAGAAATATTAACTACACTTGAAAAGTAACCATACAGAGGAATAACGTCAACTAGAAGCAGCACACGTGATATAAATGCTGATGTTGTTAAGCATGTAATAGCACCACCTGTCTCGCAAAGAAAGAAAAACGTCCGCTATAAGGGAAGCTTCATGGACACAATTCATGGATGCAATTAGTGTCTTTGCCATTCCATTCAATACAATGAATAATACATTATAAAGAGCTTGAAGCTATAGAATGTATCTAGATTCTACACTGACTAACACATAGAATGTAAAAACAATCGATGAGTGATATGTTTAAAAGTAATGGCCACTTATGGTTATAGCTACAAAGCTCATTTTCATCCGCAGTCTTTTGGAAGTTAAAGAAAAAAAGTACAAATTGCAAACAGTATGATTCCAAAATTTGTATTTCTTTATTTGTTTGACTGGGACAGTACATGTCAATGAGCATAAAGCATCACCACCTCTGCTGCGCTGTGACCTAAAGTGCTGTTGCATTTTAATACTATTGTTAGAATTATGTATTTATTTGTTTTGTTTGTGTGGATGGATGTGATTCTGCTGCTACTGGACACCCAAATTTCTTCTACGGGAGTCAATAAAGTGTCTATCCATCTATCTATCTAACTATATGGTTAAACACATTGTCGACACGTCGGATTGTAGGCAAAGGCTAATTATCATCTGTAGTTCCGGGGGGGCGGGTCAAAGATGGAGGAGTCTAAAAATGTTTGTATGATGACTAAAGATGGAAAGTTCACTCTAATCTGAATTGAAACAACTACTACATAATTACAGGAACATAGTCTAAAAGCAGCAGCAGTCTGTTTGCATCTCTCTGACCCGAGTCACGACTTTTCACAGCGACAGTGGGTTACCGTGGTGACCAAAATAGCCCGAGCAAACATACAGGAAACAGCGGCATGGGAGTGGAAATAAATAATATCCACCGATTTCCCAAATGTTGGCTAATCCTAGTGTTATTTCCCACCGACAGCTGAAGTCAGACAGATCAGGTGACCTCAACCAGCAGAGCTCCGGATCATGTGACACCGGGCACCGCAGACAAATCCGCTTTGAATCAAACCCCAGCAACAGAGGAAGCAACACTTTAGATTGTCCAGAGGGTCACACACACACACACACACACACACACACACACACACACACACACACACACACACACACACACACACACACACACACACACACACACACACACACACACACACACACACACACACACACACACACACGCTAATAAACATGTGGATCCGTAAAGGTTTGGAGGAAGCAAAAACAACTTTTCTTAGTTTTATTTGTATAGGACATTTACAACAACACCAGCTTCCCAAAGTGCTTCACAGGCACAAAATGAACAAATAGAAACGCAAACAGCATAAAGTATTTGCACACACATGTAAAAAGTTAAAAGTTTGAAGCCAAGGCGTAAAAATATGTCTTTAGACTAGATTTAAAAACCTCCAATGACCGAGCTGCTCTAATGCACAGAGGTAAACTATTCCACAGTTTGGAGGCAGCAGCAGCAAAAGCCCGGTCTGCTCAAGTTTTTGACAAGACCTGGGCACATTTAACAGCTGTTTTTCTGACCTCACTGATCTGAGAGGGGCATTTGTCAGATATACAGGGGCAAAACCTTAAACATTTAACAACAAGCAACAGGATAAATCTACCATGAAGACCGACAGGGAGCCAGTGAAGTGAGACCAGCACAGGGGTGATGTGCTCTCTCTCCCTGTGAGCAAGAGAGCAGCAGCATCCAGGCCCTGCTGAAGGCGCTTTAGTGAGCTTAGGTCCCGGCCACAGTACAGCAAGTTACAATAATCTAACCTCAAAGAAATGAAATAAAATAATGCCACCAGAGATGCTTTATTTGACGATACTTTCAAAACAGAAGCTCAAGAACTAGTTTTGGTTTCATAAATGTATTTTGTTATTCCCCACAGAACGAGTCTTAAGGATCACCCTCCCTGTACAGGGAGGATTCAGATATTTTTCATTTAACTGCATCAGTATTATAACTTAACTTGTGTCAATATAGTCAAGCTATACCTCTTTTGAAAGCTTATTCCCACCTCTAAATGCATATTATGTTCAAATAAACATTAAATATCAACAAAAGTAAGTATTTGTAGTCAAACTGTATACATATAAAAAATATATATTGTCCTTTCTTACCTTTTCATGCTAATATTCTGGGCCAAATCACGTCTAATCCACACATGTGTGCATTCATTTTGTCCGGGGGGGTCTAGAGAATACTTATATCCAGTTGTTTTTTCTTCAAAGTCATCCTTATAGTAGATATCCACTTGTAACGACACATTTGAGTTTTGAAAGTTGCCCGAACAAAAATAAAACCGCGTCTTTGCGCACTGTCTGAAGACGCCATTGTTTTTTTTACCCAGAATCACTGGGTATGTTCGTCTTCCTCTCAGTCTTCCCTTCAAAACAAGCCCTCACTCGGACTTTTCAGTGCTATGGTTTGGGGGGTACAACAAGTTGATGAAAACAAGCGCACCAAACTTCAGCCCTCCAGGCATTTACCTTTCTGTGCGTCATGACAGCATTGTCTTGACTACCATTGGCCGATTTGGATGTCAATCAAACCATCTTGTAGCCAATAATCTCAGGTTTCAGGCGATGTGTCGGACTTCAAGGTTCCTCCCACTGTTCGAGTGTTATTTGAATGCGTAAGAGAGGAAAGCGGAGCATTTTCACGGAGAACACGCGCTATAACTATATAAATAATAGCTTTTCTGTAAACATTTCAATATCTGGAAAAAAATCCTATTTATAGCAAGAGTAATAGCCAAAAAATGATATAATTTGATTTTTGGTGTAATAATGTTGATAATTTGCATGTAAAACACTTTGGCACAATTGGCACAAAAATGGACCGCTTGTGCCGAATGTGCCCATTAGTCACAAAAAAGCCCCCAGCATCAAAATGGTTTCACCTAAAGGT